CGTATCTATAATTGTATGTACATTATATATACTAATATTAGTAATATTAGTTAATTATAGTAATATTATATATTATATAATATATACTATAGGAAGTGAATATATCTTTAATTTTATAATTCATTGTATATATTGCATACGCATTATATACACATTATATATAAAAAAGGAATATATCTATAATTGTATTAGTACATTATATATTCTAATATTAGTAATATTAGTTAATTATAGTAATATTATATGTTATGTAATATATATACTATAGGAAGTGAATATATCTTTAATTTTATAATTCATTGTATATATTGCATACGCATTATATACACATTGTATATGATAAAGGAACGTATCTATAATTGTATTAGTACATTATATATACATTGTACATACTGTATATATTGTATATACATTGAATATTGAAAATGAACATTAGTTGTATAATGTATATTGATATAGTGTCTTTAATGTGTAACGTATCATGAAAATATCAGAAATATTAATTAATATTATTTATTAATATGAGTTGATATAAAATAATCCTTTTGACAAAACTTAATTGCAAACTTGTTGAAATCACAATTCAACATCTACAATTCCCTGAATCCATCTAGAACGTGATCTATCATTCTCATTTTTATACTTCTGAACTGTTCTTTCTCACAGAATATTGTCCCCATGCATTTCACAAAATTATTATTCTCTGTGTTTAGACAGCATATTGTTTAGACAAAAATAACATGCACAGTGGTGATCCTGAAAACGCACATATTTGCATATAAAAAGCAAAATACACAGCCTTCATTTGTATGGTGTTTTGGCTTCTCCAAAAAAAAAGTTTTACCACCATGTAGTAACGTTACCATCACTATTCTGACAGATACAGATTGTTTTTGTAGAGTCAGCATTTTCATTGTGATTACTTTAAATGAAAAATTAATATGTCAATACTTTGAATTATTATAACTCTTAAAATTGTAAAAAGATAGATGCTTTCTTCACTTTTGAATTTTTACACTTGCATCATTATAGTATTGCTCATTATTGGAAATTGCTACTGTGTACATTTGTTATCATTTATAAAATAGTATGATTAATGTATCGTTGTTGTTTTTGCAAACATATTGCGAAGGAAGCCATACTTTTTCGATGCACTGATAAACTTCGACTTGTAGAGATAGGATTCCTTGCGAATTCGAGTTGCGGAGATTTTTATAGCGGAACGAAAGGAAGTGAAGAAACTTTTTAAGTTATAGAAGTTGTATACCGGGTGTCCGAATATTAAAGATACGATCGAGAAGGAAATGATTCTACTGTGAAAAAAATATATCAAAAACAGAGAATAAAACTTTTTAATCTAAGTCAGAATTTTTGAGAAAATCAAACTTGAATGTTTATCAGATATACTTGAATTTCGCTAATTTTGCACTGCACAGGAGCGATTACGATAGGTTAGCTGCAAAAATAAGTTTCCCCATCTGATACGTTCAAATTAAAAATTAGTTCAGTTTAGGTATAATTAGAACGTGTAATTGAGTCTTCGCTAAAACGAAAATTGTATTCCACACTTTTCACTCACTTTCACAGAATAGAATAATTTCCTGTTCGAATTGTAAATTCAATTACAGTTGATAAACTGTATTCAAATTTAATTTCTTTGAGAACGGAGCCTTAAATGAAAAAAATTTGTTCTTTATTTTCGATTTATTTTTTTTTATGCAGTAGCATAACTCCTCTTGATTATATCTCCAATATCACCGTGAGGGACGTGTACAGGTTATACTTAAAGGTTATATTAATGAAAAAATTCTATTTAATATATTTTATATTATTTATACTATTTTTGTTATATACATTATATTATATTATATTATACTTATATTTATATTATATATTATATATATTACATTTTATATATTACTATTTATATTATTTCCGCATTTTCGCATCGCCAAAGCGGATGAAAATTTTTGCAGTGTACATGAGAACCGCTCTAAATCAAACGTCAAACGTGAGGAAAAAAGAAAAGTTCGATTGCATGGTCGTACGTTTCTTCGACGTGTGTCGTTGGCGAAAATCATAGTATCCGGATTCTTGGAGCTACCAATTTCACCAGCAAGCCACTACTCTTTTATCTCGGGGTCGTATTGGAGAAACCTTGATTCGAGATTGCTGAGGTCACGAGAGAAACTAACCCCTCTATACACGGTGTTTCTGTAATCAAGCTCGGTAAAATACTAGCCCTGGCGAATTTCTGATCAAATACGAACATTCGAAAATACAGCTGAGTAACAAATAGCGGACAATCTATTTTACTTGAAAAATATTTTACCTGTCATAAAAAATAAATTTTCAGAAATGGTACTTTATAAATGGTACTTCAAAATGGTACTTTATAAATGGTACTT